AATTTTGGATTTGATATATATTGATGATAAGAGTTAGTTGAGTTTTTTTTTTTATGATTTAAATTAAGTTAAAGTTTTATATAAAATTGAAATATCGGATAAACTTAATTTTAAAATTTTTGGTAAATAATTAAAATTAAAGAATTATCTTATGTATAAGTTGTACATGAAAGTGATCATGCAAAAATGCTTATTTAATCGTATATTTAAAATTATTTTATGTGTCATCAAAATAGATTGTACACAGAAGATTACATGTAAGCAAATATTATAATGTATTTTTGTATGTTGTAACATAATATTATATATGATTGATTTTTCATTTAAATCTTGATTAACTTTAATTTGTAAATATATTTAAATAATAATTTTTTCTATAGATAATATCTAATAAAATAATAATATTTAAATTTTGTTGTTTTATACCTTTATTCTCTAAAGAGAAATATCTAATCAAATAATTACTTGATAACTCTAGACTCAAGAAATTTCATCAAAGTTACCAACATGGCTTATTAAAGTTTAAAAGTTATTTAACACAGATTTTCTTCTTATTGTTATTTAGTTGTGCATTGTGATTTTATCTACATAAATAAATGAAACAAATTTATTGAGTTTATTTTTTTATTTGTTTTTAAATCATAATAAAAAAAAAATTAACTTAAGTGGATTCTAATTAAATTTATTATGAATTGAGGAAGAGAAAAAAAAATGTTATAGCTAATTTGAAAAAAAAAATCTTACTTGATGAAGTGAATAGTATATTTAATAAAATAATACCTATCATAAAAAAAAGCATGTTGAAGTGAATACTATATTTAATAAAATAATACCTATCATAAAAAAAAACATGTTAGTTTCTGTAGCAATAATAGACTAACAAAAAGAGAGATTAAATTAATAGTAAAAAAAATACGTTTAACTTGTACGTTTTGTGGGATATTGGGAAAGTTATGTAACTAAAAACTATCAATAATGAGGGTTTTTTTGAAGTTGTTATGGTATTTATATATATATATTCACATTTTTTTTAAAATATTATATTAAAAGTCTATGGCAAATGTTGATTTGAATTTAAATTTTATTTTAATTCAAATATATCTAAATCTATTTTTTAAAGTTAGTGGATTGTTTATTAAAATTATTTTTATCTATATCTAATATATTTAAAAGCTAGAGATAATGTGATGATTATTTATAAAAAATATTAAAGATATTAAATAATTTTTTTAAAAGTTTTGATAAATTTAAATAATCATGTTAAGTGTAAATAAATTGAAAAAGATAAATTATTTTAAAATTGATTTTAAATTGAGATAAGATGATGCATAGGAAAAAGGAATTTCATTAGAATTTAAATTGGTTTTTAATTAAATTTTAAAATTTTAGATAATTTAATAATTTTTAAAATATATTTTTTATAAATAATTTAAAATTAATAAATATCTTATGTGTCATCATAATGAGAAATTTTAAAAATTATTTTATGTGTCGAAAAAAGAAGCTATTCATGTAAGCGTCCATATCAACAAATACTATTTGGTAATTATGTAAATTATAATATAATATATATGATTAGATAATTTAAAAAATTTTCAAATAACGAAATTATTCAAATTATAATTAAAAATTAAATCAATCTAGATATATGTTTTTTAAAATTAAAAATCTTAAATAAGGATTTTATTTTCATAATAAATAATTCTAGTTGTTTATCAAATAACTTTATTTAAGAAATTATTTAATTGTCAAAATCTTTCAACATATTTAAAAATTATAAAGATTAAATTTATTGAAATCTTTCAATAACCTTTTTATCTTGATTTGAATCAATAAAAAAATTATTTTTTTGAAAATTTATGTAAGATATTAAAAGTTCAAATAATTTTTTATATTAAAATTTTAAAATAATAAGACCATCAAAAGGATTATATTTATCTCAACTTTAATTATCAAATTTATATTTCAAATATGTGTAAAAAATTTGTTTCCATCCTATCACTTATTATATTCCTTTTAAATTTTAAAATATTAATTTAAAAATTATCTATTCAATTTTAATTTTTCTTTTTATAAATTTAAGATTATAATTATATCAGTTTTTTTTCTTTTATTTTTCAGTTTGTAACGTTTTTCAAGATATATTCTATTATTATTGCAATTTATTATTTTTTTTGTTTATAACTTTTTTCTAAGATATATTTTGTCACCATTGCAATTTCGTTCTTATGAAAAATAATTTTTTTTCAATTTATTTTTTCTTTTTCACATATCTCTGGATATTTTTCATATTTTGTACAACAATTTGGTCAAAATGACAAAAGTGAAAATATGTTAATACTTCTTTTATTATTTAATTTATCATTCAATAATATATATGTTTTGATTTTTAAGAAAGATATAATTTATTTTTATTTTATATAATCTTGCATGTGTATAAATATTATTCTAGATAAAATAGTCCAAAGAAAAAACATATAATTTTTTTTTCAAAATGTTTATTTTTGAAGACAAGTCAATATATATGATATAAATTTGAAGGTATGAATATAATTTAAAAAAAAACTAATTTATATGTATATATTCATATTAAATATATAAAAAAACTATTTCGTATATCGCACGTGTCACAATCTAATTTATATATTATATATATCACTAGTATAGAAAAAAATTTCTTAAATATACTGATAGTAAAATTTTTAAATTTTATAAATGGGATTAAATCTTGTTAAATTATCATTTGAGTGATAGTAAAGCTTATCTAAATAATTGTTAGGGTTATGATTTTGTTTGTTTTTAATTTCCACACAGATATGGAGCGAATTCCTTCAGCTTCAAAATTGAAGTGATCATAGCAAGCGAGAGGAAACAAAAACAATTGTGATTAATGCTATTTGATTCCAGGCTTGCAGCTGTAATAATTTGGCTTAATTAAAAAAATATGCTTTGATTAATTAAATTTTTTGTAATCTTATATTTAAGATAAACATTTTTATTTATCATAAATTAATTTTAAATTAAATACTTATCATATCATCATAACCTTGATTCTATTTTGTAATTCTCCCCTTATATTCATTCCAAATAGGTGATATAATCACGTCTGCACATGATAAGAATTTATGCCTATACCCTTTTAAATTTATTTTATATATATATATATATTTATAGAGCAGATCAACTCTTTTAAGATAACGAAATTAAATAATTGTGATGGAAGTTTATACATTAAAGAAAAGCTAAAATATTTTAAAATTTAAGATCTTGCATTATCCTAGTGTGTGTATATATATATATACATACCTACGTATATACAAAACAAAAGTTTGCAAAGTCAATGAACATAATTTATGTTTATTTTGAATTGCATGAACATCAATCTGATCATAGTTATAGCAGTCAAATCCACTAATCAATGTACCAATTGAAAAATTCATGGCTTATATATTTTAAAATTATTATAAGTACTAAAATTAAAAAAATACTTTTCATAGTAAGTTAAGATTAGAAGTTTATCGGGAGAGCACTGGTTGATATATTCAAAATTCAAGCTCGGTTTGAGTTTGACTTGACCATATCTTATCCCTCCATTTAAGTTATATTAATTATTAAAATATTTAAAAATATTTTTATATTATTATTTTAATATTTTAAATTTAATTTTATTTAAAATATATTATTTACTAATATAATAATAATATTTTTGAGCTGGATTGAGCTTGATCTAGTCCTAAAGAAACCTTGAAAAGATCCAACCTTGAAGGAGTCCATAGATACCTTTAATTAAGTTTCAGGGTTTCATTTTTTTTTATTAATTTTGTTCAAATATCTTCTTAAAATACTTATACTGACAACTTTTTTATTTGAAGTTGTTTTTTTAAATTTAGTGACGACTAGAGGTTCTTGGATCCCTTCAATGGGTTGATCCAAACTAGTTTGTTTACGTTGAGTTTAACAAATTTAAAAAACAAATTATTTTTTTATAATTTTTCAATGAATTCGAATTCAAATAATAAATTTTTTTTATCACGTAAGTAAATCATCTGTTGGTTATTATTTGAAATTATGTTAAGAATTAAACTTTGATTACTTAAATTAATAATTTAATATTTTATCAGCAGATTTCACATTGCACTGCAAAGGCGTCTTACTTGAAAACATCACTTATCCTCTCTCGATTCCATCGGAAAAGAATTCCAGGATTTCATCAGTCAAAGGACGCCGCTGTTTGGAGACAGAAAGGGGCACTATCTTTTCGAATACAACGTGCACATCGTCGGTTCCTGTTTTTTCTACAATTGAAATTATACAGAAGAAATGATACAATTTAATTTGTACTGGAGTCATTTTTGTTTCATTTATTAAATTATTAGATAAGGAAAAGGATCTTTTAATTTCAGAAGCTTAAAAAAATAATGAAATTGAGTAGTTTACTTTCAATTAAATTTAAGATTAATATTTAATTAATTTATTATTCATTTGTCACCAAACTTTAATTTGTAGTCTTAATTGCATATCATCTTGTTGAATTGAAAGGGAATAAGTATTCAATTCTAATAAAAAGCGGAGTAGGTAGAGAAATTGTAATCTTTGAAAACATCTTTTCGTAAATTTATGTGTAATTTGTTCTAGCGCGAGAGTAATTGGATGAATTCTCTGAACGTTTCAATCGCGTAATTTGTTCTAATGAATTCTCGTCAGCATTACCTACCCGTTAATATATATATATTTAATCATTATGCTTCATAGGAGATTGCTGACCGCTCGAAAGTTGAATGTGAAACACATAATACCTAGGCGAAATTTTCTATCAATATCTGATATTTCTGCATTTTGAGTAAAAGACAAATAAGTGGGTTCCATTTTTTTTTGTTATTTTAAACTGTAGAAAATTTTGGAATAATGGCACTCGACTTGTGTTCTTATCACCTCTATATAAACCTCAGTTTAGAAAGGGGGTGGGCAAATCCACTATCTTAGCAGATATCATTCCTGAGTTGAGATTCCGTTATTGCCCACCAAAAATGAAGATTGAAGTGGAAGTACTTTCCCAAGAAATGATCAAACCCTCTGTCCCAACCCCTGACCACCTTCGTAATTACCAACTCTCTTTTCTTGATCAGATTCAGCCGCCAATTTTCATGCCTTTGGTTATGTTCTATCCCGAAGAACATGATGGTGTTAGCAACTTGGAACGATGTAACAGGATAAAAAGAGCTTTATCCGAGGCTTTGTCTGTGTACTACCCGCTAGCAGGGCGGATTAAGGACAACGCCTTTATTAATTGCAACGACGAGGGTGTTCTCTTTGTGGAAGCCAAGGCTAGTTGCCACCTTTCTGATATTCTTGAAGATCCAAATCCAAATAACAACAACAAGTTCATTCCTCTTGAGCTTGATGATGCCAATGAGTTACCCGCTATAGCACAAGTCACCTACCTTGAGTGTGGAGGTTTAGTAGTTTTCCTTGGGATGTCACACAAGGTTGGTGATGCCTTATCATTTTTCACGGTCATTGACTGCTGGGCAGCTTTTGCTCGTGGTGACACTGATATAATAAGTCCTAAGTTCGATTCTGCTACCATTTTCCCACCAAGGGATATATCTGGGTTCCAGCCGAGGACTGGGATTACAAAGGACAATTTAGTGAACAGAAGATTTGTCTTCGATGCTCCAACAATAGCAGCTATCAGAGACATGTTCACAGACAAAAATAGCATCGACGCCAGGCGCCCAACTCGTGTTGAAGCCTTATCTGCCTTTATATGGAGCCGCTTTATGGCTGCCACTCAAGAAAAAGTAGACCAAGGAAAGATCTACACAGTGATTCATGCTATGAACTTGCGTACAAGGATGGACCCGCCGCTTCCAAATCACCATTTTGGGAATATCAGCAGGCCAGCGATTGCAGTGCCATCAATGGATAAGAAAGATGAATTTTATGACATTCTTAACCAGATGAGAGAAGCAATTAGGAATGTGAATGCCGAGTATGTGAAGCAGCTTCAAAGCACTGATGGGCACTTGAATTTCATCAAAAGCAGGGCTGCAAGTTTCATGAAGGGAGAGGTGGTCACCTTTAGCTTCACCAGTTTGTGCAGGCTTCCTGTGTATGTAGCTGACTTTGGGTGGGGAAAGCCCGTTTGGCTTGGCTCTGCTAGCTTGACTTTCAAGAATCTCTGTTCTCTCTTTGACACCAAATATGGAGATGGAATTGAGGCATGGATCAACTTGAAACAGGAAGACATGGCTAAACTTGAAGCTGACAAGGAGTTCCTTTCGTATGTTTCTTCAACTTCTAAAGTCAAAATTTCTGACTTTTAGCTCTAGGAAAAGCTATTCAAAAGTGGCATCCTGGTTTCTGGCACTGAAATCTGAAAATCCAATGGACCAAACGAAAAACAAAAGTTCATAGCACCAGTTTAGTTTATCGTTTCTTTCTTTGTAAGTGTGAAAAAAGCGTTTATTGTATTTCTTTAACTTTCTAGTCCGTTTCGTAATTAAGTATAGCTAGCAAGGTTTGTTTATAAATAAAAAATCTTTGTCTTCTTTTTCGATCAATGTCAATCATGAGAATCCCAACTAAATTAACAACTGAAACGTTATTATATTTATATAGGTAGTTATAATTTTGTATTCCATTACCAAGATTATACACAACATGTAATCCATCAACCCAAGGAAAGACTTTCCAAAAGGTTATTGCTGGAACAGATTCAGGACGGTTTTTCTCCCTGGTTGAGATTTTGTCCAGGCCCTCATTTGGGCTAGGTTTGAACTACCTTAGATGCTCTGTACGTCTAGTTGTTTTAATGTGTTGTTTCAGCGGAAAACAGAAGAGTTTATTAACTCCTAAAAAGAGTTCATCTTTGCTCCTTAAAGTGACAGGTCCCGTTTGTTTTCAGCTCATCTGATAACTGCAGGCTCATAAAAGATGACAATAAAATCAAAAGGAATTAAGTTTCAACGTCTTAAACATTGCTTGAATGCAAGAATTAAAGTATTTTTTTAGAGTTTTAGGATTGATCCTCTCAAAGTCGACCAAAAAAATACTTTGAATTTCACAATTAATTATATGATGGAGTTGGTTAGCTGATTCTAAGAAATTGATCACAATCAGTATTCTTTTCATCAAGCATAGAGTACAAATTTAATAAATTCAACTTTTTCCAATTCCTTATGAATCAAGTAAACGAGCAAGACTTGAATTTGTCCACATTTGCTTAAATTGAAAGTATCTTACCAATTCCATTCTCTACCGTACATGTCATTGTATAATCGCGCACGAGGGAAATGGGAGGAGCATAACAGCCCACGGCATGTTCTACTTTGCTGAACTATTCAAAACAAGTGGGCCTACAAATCAAGATGCAATATTGGAGGCCATTTTAAGGTGAAATTGAAAGTGGGGATGAATGACGCCAACTTACACGCCAATTTAATGCAGAAGAAATTTTTGAAGCCATCGATCAAATACATCCTCACAAGGCCCCAGGTCCATCAAGGTCCTGGTGGTAAGTCTGCAAGCTTTTATCACTCCTTTTGGCATGTTATAGGAAAAGATGTGACCAATTTTTCTTTTGATGTTTTAAATGATGAGAACAGTTTTTGAGAAGATTAATGGTACCTCCAGAGTACTGGTATCTAAAACAAAACAACTCACTAAAATGACCAAATTTCGTCCAATAAATCTTTATAATGGTTTTTACAATATCATTACAAAAGTTTTAGCTAATAGATTAAAAAAAGTTCTATCCTTCTATATAAGTGAGAATCAAAGTGTTTTTGTTCCGTTAAAATAGATCACAGATAATACCCTTATGACTTATGAGCTGTTAAATACCATAAGACTAAAAGATAGGGATAAGACCAATTGGGGGCTATTAAATTGGACGTGAACAAAGCTTAGATAGGGTACAATGAAGCTTCATCGAGTCAGTTATGAGAAGGATGTGTTGTGAAAAAGTGGATCTCGGTTGTTATGCATTGTTTTAAATCTATTTCTTACAAAATTGTTTTAAATGGGCTGACATAAGATATTACAATTCTCGAAAGGGGGTTGAGGTAGGGAGACCCTCTATCACCATGCTTGTTTCTATTACGTTCGGAGGGTCTATCGACTCTTTTAAACAAGCATCAAAGAGACGGACTATTGAAGGGTATCCGAAACAGTATTAAAGGCCAGAGAATTACTCACTTATTTTTTGCAGATGACAATATGCTTTTTATTAAAGCAGATATGACTGAATGTGAAAGGGTAAGGGGTCTCTTGAAGATCTATGAGGAGGGATTGGGTCAGAAGATAAACTATGAGAAATCGAGCTTATTCTTTAGTACTAATATAGGCAATGACAAACAGGAGGAGATCAAGCGCCTGTTTGATATTCAGATCACTATAAATCTAGAAAAATATTTGGGTCTGCCAATATTTGTTGGGAGGAGTAAGAGGCGAGATGTTAGATGGGTGCTAGACAATCTGAGGGAGAGAATCGAAAATCACACAGATGGATCTCGGTAGGTGGAACGGAGATCTTTGTAAAGGTAGTGCTGCAATCAAAGTCTGCTTGCGCTATGTCGTGGTTTCTTTTCCCTAAAAGCCTTTGCCAGGAAATGAATATGATTATGAGCTCTTATTGGTGGAGAAACAATAAAGACAAAGGAGGTATACAGTGGTTATCATGGAAAAAACTTTGTAAGACAAAAAAGGATGTGGATCCTGGCTTCAGAGATATGGAATGTTTTAATCTTCCGTTGCTTGCTAAACAGGGATGGAAAGTTATCCAAGACACATCATCCTTGGTCCAGAAAGTCCTAAAAGCAAAGTGTTTTCCTGGAAAGTCTTTCTTGGAAGCTGATGAATGTCTCAGACAATCTTATACGTGGAAAAGCTTATGCAAGGGAAGGAAGCTTTTGCAAATAGGGGTTAGGTGGCGGGTGGGAAATGGGAAAGAGGTCAGAATCCTAGAAGACCCATGGATCCGAACGAAACCTCTTTTTTCCTAAAGCTTCTTGAAAACGTCACCCCTAGAGTGGAAAAGGTTAGTGAATTATTTGAGGAGGAAGATGGAGGCTGGAACAAAATGAAGCTAAAAGAATTATTTCCAGGACCCACGGTGGACAATATCCTAGAAATAAAAATTGTAAGCATGGAGATGGAAAATGTAGCGATATGGCACTTTGAGAATAATGGCATACATAGAGTTAGAAGTGGATACCATTTACTCAAAAGACAGATGTACCACGTGTAGAGGGGGGAGGGAACAATGGTGTTTGAAGACTAGCATAAATTATGGAGCATGGTCCTCCCAAACAAAATAAAGATGTTTGCGTGGAGGATATGCCATGCAGTCCTACCAGTTTTCAAGAACCTGCAAAAGAGGAAGATCCTAGCGCAGGCTATATGTTAGAGATGTAATAGCGCTGAAGAGACGGTGGAGCATGCTCTCTTTGACTGTTTACAAGCCAAGGAGATGTAGAACAAGTCAACAAGGAATGAAGGTGTGGGGAAGGTTGAAAAATCTCTCTGGGGGCTTTGAAATGAATCTTTTGGAGAAAGTGATAACAATTGCCTGGGCTATTTGGTCAATTAGGAATGACCTGGTGAAGAATCGAGTACAACATGATTTTAGGCATGCTGCATGTTTTGCTCTTCAATATTTTTATACATAACAAAGTGCCCAAGAAGAACATGGTGTCCTAACATCCAGGGACCCGGGCGAATGGACTGTCCTAGTTGGAGACATGGTTAAAGTTAATTTTAATGGAGCTCTTGATGTAAAAAATAGGGTTGGAGGACTTGGTATTGTGGTCAAAGACTCACGAGGACATGTAATTGCAGCAATTAACAAGACAGAATCAAGCGTGAGTGATCCAAGAATGGTTAAAGCTTTGGCAGCAATTGAAGTAGTTAAATTTGTTGTTGTACTAGGATTCTCAGGGATGGTGCTGGAAGGGGACTCTGTGGGGCTTGTAAACCATATAAAGAAGGAAAGCAGGGATATGTCACCGATTTGGAACCTGATTGAGGAAATTAAGGCTTCCTCTAAAGGGCTTAATGTTTGATAGTGCATGCATGTAAAAAGGGAAGGAAATAGGGTTGATCATTGTTATAACGTTTAGATTCATAGATTTATAATTAGATCTGACTTTAGGAGTCACAATCAATATTTTTTGTTAAGGTGTGAATGGTCACCTAAGTGAATTTATCTTTTTTTAAAGAGATATCCCAAGCTTAATTTAGGTATCTTTAAAAGGTAGATTTTATGTCTACAAAACCAAGACTAGATCTAGGAGTACGGTTACGTATGAAGAAGGTCGTAGCACCGTCACAACGCCCATCAAATGATGGTACCAATTTGATTTTATACTATCCAAACTTTAAAATATTTTTGAATTTTTATCAAGTAAATTTAATTATTGTAAATTGATCTTAAAATTACACCAATCATTTGGAAATGATTTAAGATAATTTTTTCACCTCAAAAGTATTTATAGAGACTCGTGTCCCACTTTGAAGAGGCTCTATCATTAGATTCATTAACATATTTTCTAAGAAATTATTTTTTGAAAGTAAATAATAAATCCTCTAATTGTTTGGTAAGATTTTATACCAATGCATATCCCCCAATCGTTTAGTGAGATTTTTATTTGAAAACCTCAACAATTTTTTTTGAAAAAAAAAAGTCATTAAATCCTCCAATAGTTTGGTAAGATTTAACGAAAATTTAAATCCTCAAATCATTTTGTAAGATTGAAAAATTATTTTTTGAAAATTCATTATGAAGTTCTGCAATTGTTTAGTAGAATTCATAAATTAAGATTTAAATCATCCAATCATTTGGCAAGAATTATGAATTTATTATAAAAATTTGTTTTAAATATGCATAAAAGAAGAAAGAGAAACAATTAAATAACATAAATAAATATACAAATAAAGAAGACAAAAATAAAATTTATGTTGTGTTCTTTCTTGCTTTTTTACAAAACAATCTATGGTTTTGCTAGAGCCAATCACCTGTGATGATTACATTTCGTTTTGGTTTACACAAAAATCAAATATAAACCTAAAACATATATACCTAAAACTTTAAAAAACTTTACTGTAAAAATTTTTTGTTGAATGCCTCATTTTTGTGTTTCTTCTCAACTCCTTTTCCAAATATAAAACTTCCAAGAGAAAATCTTAATTATCTAAACCCCAAACATTGAAAAAGACTAAAAAAAACTCTTATTTTTTTTACTTTTTTTACTCTTTCTTTCTTGATTTTTTTTTATTGATTTTTCATTGTCTCTAATTGATCCTAATGGGGTTTTTTGTATAGGCATCTAATCCAAATCACAATAGGAAAAGGTTTACTTGGTTTCAATCTCCTAATCAAAACCAATTTTAGATTTTTAATCCAAATCTACCTCTCAAATCAATACATTCCCTTTTCAATTAAAACACTAGACTTCAAATTGAATCAAATTTTTTCTTTTTCCTTTTTTTAAACCATAAATCAATTAATTAACAAAATAAATAATCTTAAACTAAACAAAATACTAAAATCCAAAAATTAAATTAAAAAAATACCCTAAACTAAATGGGGTGTCTATGGCTGTCACTTTTTAC